TCGGGCTCCCATGAGTCATCAGCTGTTGAGTAACCCTTCCACCTGACGCGATATTCGCGGCGTCGCATTCTCTTGTTTTCTCGATGTCCGATGATGGCTTCGACTTCGTAGTTATCTTCGCCCTTGATAAGGTCAGGAGGTGGCCTCGTGTAGTTCGGACCATGGATCTCCGTCTCCGAGTAGGGAGATAGAAGCCATTCGTGGAAAACGGGGTGGACTCGCCAGGTGCTAGGGAGGTCTAGCTTGTATGCGACCGTTCCGATCTTGTCTAGGACTTTGAACGGCCCTTCTCGCCTCGGGGCTAGTTTCCTGGACGGGTACGGCAGCTTCAAGTTCCGGGAGTCTAGCCATACCAGCTGACCTTTACGGAAGGAACCCCCCTTCCTTTTTACTCTCTTGGCCAGGACGTTCTGGGCCATCTCCATTGCCGCATGTGCTTCCTCACGGATGTTTTGCAGGTCCTTGAGGCGATAAGCTGCTTGCGGCGTGTTTGATCCGGGGTGCGCGGTGGGTATTCCGCGAGGTTCGTATCCCATCATGAGTTTGAATGGGGACGTCTTTGTCGTGGAATGCTCGCGGGAGTTGTGAGCAAATTGCGCGGTGTGAAGATGGTCAGCCCACTTATCCGGATCATTGGCAGTGAAGCAGCGGAGGTAGATCTCCAGCTCTTGGTTCACTCGTTCTGTCTCGCCGTCGGTTTGCGGATGGAATGCCGTACTCATAGCTGATTGAACCCCAGTCATTTTGCAAAGTTCTTGGAAGACTTTGGACGCAAATTGCGGTCCTCGGTCACTGATGATCTTGTCTGGGAGTCCAAACCACTTGTAGACCTCTCGGTACATTGCGTCTGCCGTCCCAAGAGCATCAATTGTTTTGTTACATGGGATGAAAATTACCCCCTTCGTAAGGTCGTGGTCCACTACGACCAGAATTGAATCGAAGCCGTTGGACGGTGGCAAGTCGGTGATGTAGTCGCACGAGAATGTGCTGAAGGGCTTGGCATTTGCGCGGGGTCGAATGGGGGTGATGGGCGGACGGGCGGGATGCGTGTTAACCTTCATTTGTTGGCAGATGCCACAGCCGTTAACATAGCGGGCAACAAACTGGGCCATGCTCGGCCACCAGTAGTCTCGGCGCAAGCCGAGGAGGGTTTTCTGAACACCGGGGTGTCCTGCAGAGGGGAGGTCGTGATAGTGGGAGACAAGACGTTTGCGAAGAGACTCATCTGGGGGTACATAGACCCGATCCTGGTATAGGAGGAGGTCATCATCGATGGACCAGTCTGTTCCAGTGCGTGGTGTTCCCCCGGTGCGCGCCGCAGTGAGGCCTTCCTTCATTATTGGGTCGTTCTGAAAGGAAAGGATGGTTTCGCGGGTGTCGATGTCGATGGCAGCGACCCATACTTCCGGTGGGAGCATAACGACATCGGTGTTGTCATTAGAGCCGTCGTCGTGGTCGGGTCGGCGGGAGAGAGCGTCGCTCTGCACCATTTGAGTACCAGGAACGTGTACCAGGCGGAAGTCAAACTCGGTCAGTTTACTCGCCCAGCGTGCTTGTCGTCGGTTCATGTCTTTGGCTTGTTTCCAATATGTGAGGTTCTTGTGGTCGCTGAGAATCGTTACTGGGTATGGGCTGCCGATGAGGTAGTGCTTCCACTCATCTAGTGCGCGGATGACCGCATATAACTCCCTGTCATAGATGTCGTAGTTTCTCTCTGCTGCATTGAAGCTTTGAGAGAGGTATCCGCAAGGGTGCCAGTCACCGTTGTCGTCGCGCTGGCGTAGTACTGCTCCGGTTGCAAACTTGGAGGCGTCGGTTTCGATAGCGAAGGGTCGATCAGGATCCGGCATGCGTAGTACCGGTTCTTCTAGGAATGCCTTTTTGAGAGTCTCAAAGGCTTTCTGTTGGTCCGATCCCCAGGTCCAGGCGACATCCTTCCGGGTGAGAGCAACCAGCGGTTGCGCTTTGTCCGAGAAGCCTTTGATAAACCGGCGGTAAAAGTTTCCAAATCCAACGAAGGCGCGTACTTGCCTGAGGTTGGACGGCACCGGCCAATCTGCAATGCCGGCTAGTTTGACGGGGTCCATTGCAATTTCTCCCGGACGGATGATCATGCCGAGGAATTCGACTTCGGTGACGTCGAAGGCACATTTCTCCGGTTTGAGGTAGAGGTCGTGTTGTCGAAGTCGTTCGATAACACGTCGTGTTCGTTCTTCGTGTTCTGCCTTGTCCTGGGAAAAGATCAGGATGTCGTCCATGTAGATACAAAGCCAGCCTTCTTGAAGCATGTCTGCGAATATTGTGTTCATCATCCGCTGAAACGTAGCAGGGGAATTACACAGTCCAAAGAACATCACCGTGGGTTCGTATAGCTGCGGCGGTTTGCCATCAGTTCCGGGTACGATGAACGCTGCCTTCCATTCGTCCCCTTTCTTGATTCGGACATTGTTGTATCCGGCGCGGAGGTCCATCTTCGTAAACACCTTGGCGTGCTTCAACTTGTCGAGGAGGTCTGATATAAGCGGGAGCGGGTATCGATCCTTGACCGTGTTCTCGTTGAGTAGCCGGTAGTCTTGA